ATAGGAATTCATAGACATCATTCCAAACGTCAGCCGCTTCTACAATACCCTGGTCCCAGAGGTTCTCTTCTCTCTAAAAAAAAATAGGATAAATCTCTTCTACCTTAAAAAAATCGGCGCCAAGCGCCGACAACGAGGTGCGAAGCAACGAGCAGTCGAGAGAGCCTCTGGTGGAGACCGTTGAGAACCTCACTTTGCTGCATTCAGCTGTTTTGACAGCTGATCAAATCTATCACTTTTCAACAGCCAATAGGAAACGTCAGTATCAAACAAAAAAACAATAATAGCTAATCAGATCGCGACGATCATCAGCTGAATGCACCAAAGTGAGGTTCCCAACGGTCTCCACCAGAGGTTCTCTCGACTGCTCGCTGCTTTGCCGCTCGTTGTCGGCGTTTGGCGCCGATTTTTTCAGGGAGAAGAGATTTATCCTATTTTTTTTTTAGAGAGAAGAGAACCTCTGGGACCAGGGTACTTCTACAAAGTCAGTAGAAGAAAACTAGGCTCAATAAAAAACCATACTTACTCTTCGAATGTATTGAGAAATGTATTCCCCGAAAGACCCTTAAGAAGAAGAAGTCTACTCCATGGCTTAATTCACGCATTAAACATCTTATTTGCCAAAAGCAATGACGTTACAATGCTGCTAGACATAGCAATAGTACACAAGATTGGCGCTAATTTAAAAACCTTCGATAAATGGTACACAATGAAATGCGAAAAGCTCGCCAAAATTACATCAACAATCTCCTAGACATTAATGATGACGTTACTTGGGAGAACATCAAACCCGGCATAACTAAACGTTTCTGGCAATACATCAAAGCTAAATGTAAAGACTCTTCTGGAATCCCCATTCTTAAATCTGACAGGAAGGAAATCATAGACCCAAAACAGAAGGCAGAGACGCTCGTGTTGTGGTCCGAATGTTTAGTGGAGAAAATGTTTCAGTTATAGTCCTGCCAAGTGCAATATTTAGGGATATTGTAGGACATGACAAACAAGTCCTCCTTAGGCTTGAAAACAATCAAATGAAGCTAATTTTGAAGCATCATGAGTCAGTGTTTTTATCACAATGAGAGTTGCAAAGGAGAGAATTAAACATAGTGATTTTGTTGATAGTTAAGTTGATGCAAGAATCCTCTGCCAGTTAAAAATCAAGCATGGAAATTGGAAAAGTGTTTTTTTTCCAGCAATAACCCGTCATGCGTTTTTTCGTGAACGTGTCCAATATTTGGAAAAAAACGTATTAGGAAAAATCTTAAAAAGAAAATGTGCTAATGCAAATTTTCCTAAGGATGTAGCGATCAATGTTTAATAAACTGCTGGTCTTCGAAGAATCATTCTCTGTGGTTTTCTCTTTATTTCCAAGTAATCGCTTAGAACATCCATCATCAAATAATGTTGGCTACATTCTTCCTTTTCCCGCACTATTCACTCTATTTCCTTGTTTTGTGTGTTATTTAACGATATTACGATGGAAATATCAAATAAAATACTGACCTGGGTTTCCGTAAACCCACGCTCTGTACTTGTACAAAGATAATGTGATTTGAAAATAAAGTGAGATATAAACTGGAATCTCATAGAACCCACATTCCGTACTTGTGCTCCGTTCGTATAATTCAACGTCGGTCGACGATTTGGATGTCGATCATTAGATCGTCAACGTTTGGCTGGTATCATTAACGATCTGATTCGTGCTCGTTCTCTAAGAACACGTTCTTAGACGATGAGCACGATGTTACGAAAGATCGTTGAACCATCCGATGAAATCGTATAAACGAGGACGTTCTTT